AATCGGGGGGGTTCCTTTCCAATCCGTGGCAGTTTTTTGGTAAAAAAACCTGGGGTTTCCCCTCCGGCATTTTTCCGTTTGGATTTCCCCCCCCCTTTTTTTGAGGCCCCCCCCCCCCCCCCCCCACCCCGATGACCCCGGATGACAGGTACCGCGAGGGGCACGGTATTTCGTTCGACGAGCACCTGGACCGTCTCAGGGATAACAAGTGGACCGAGGAGGAGTTCGAGGCCGGCTTCCAGATGGGCGTGGCGACCCAGAACTTCCTCGAGTACGAGGCTTTGCTGCGCAAGGAGCTTGCCAAGGGGAAGGTACGAAAGGAGCCAGCACACGGCCTGATTTTTTGTCCTTGTTGATCTTGCACATGGCGAGCTGGCTGTTTGCCCTCTCTGATCGTGCACACGTAATGGCCATCGTTGTGTAAACCTTCCCCGTTACTGACTTGTTGTCTTGGCGGGATGATCAGCTTGGTGTTCTTCTTCTCTGGCAAGGTTGGGTTTACAGTTTTTTTTAACCTTCACCTCCTATCGCAAACCTTGCCTCATGCATTTCGAGCATGGAACGTTCTTTTGCGCCGGCGTCGCGCTCGAAAGTGTAACCGTATCAAAGGTCTGTGGCTCCCGACCTGCCTTGCCGCTTCGTCGTACGTTGTACTAGTATTCTGAAACGTACCATTTGTGTGACTTGGCGTACTGCCGTGGTATGTCCTGCTTGCTCACCCCGCCGCATCGGCGATCGCCGCTGATTCCTCGTGTACCGATTTGATTGGCCAGGTCAAGCCGGATGCCCGGTCGAACCTACGAAAGTTCCGGTCTCAGGTTGGCATCGATGCCCAGGAGCACCTTATCGCGGTCGAAAAGCAGGTGAGCAGTACACAAATTTACAGGAATTGAGGGCCGTACATGATCGCTCCCTTCGGAATTACGGTTGCCTGCCCTTGAAACGATCGATGCTCTTACACGTAATTGCCGGAGGCGTGCAATGCAGCAGTTCGAATCCGCTACATGCCTCCCCCACGGCCATTGTGCGATCGGTGTTCGCTGTAGTTCGGGTTGGATACTTTGTTACTAAGCTTCCTTGGCCAATTGTGCGATATTTGGTGCCCGGTGCTCGATTCTATTGTATTCGTCAAACTTACTTGGCACATTGTGCCACTGATGCTGGCTGTCTAATGTCGGATACTTTTATCCCACTTGTACCAAACGTCATGTTGGATCATTTATTCCCACTTGTGTCTATCACACGTCCCGTCGCGACGTTTTGGTTTCCCGGCCATCGTCTGTCAGGGGTGGACGGCGGACGACTACGAGGCTGGCGCCAAGACCAGCTAGATTTCCAACAGACGACTACCGAGCCATCCTCCACAGAGCGGACGGCGGATTTCCTAGTGGTAGGACGCGAAGGATCGGGGGGATGGGGAAGGGGGGTCGTTTCTTGCCGAAAGGGGCGCCATCGTGTGCTTTTGAGCCGTCCCTCCCCTGTGCCTGGGGGCACGGAGGCCGAGCAGAGGCACCCCTCAAGGGTCTTGTAAAGGTTGAGCCGCGGAGCTTGATGGCTTGGTGTCGCTTTCGTTGTTGCTAATGGTACGCTTGGTACACAGCAGAATGTGTCGCCACCATACGGGAAGGAAGAGAGTTTTATCCTTTTTAGGAAACATCGAAAAAATGCTGATACGTGGGAGAGGGGAGGGTGATGCAAACGTAGATGTCTAGACACGGGGGGTGGGGGGAGGAGGCGGCGAATCGTGGTTTATTCAGGATGGCGGCAAGGGTCGAAGTTGATCGATCGTGTGGTGTGCGCACACACAGGTGTATGGCCGCCGGGCTTGGGGTGCAAAGAAAAAAAAGAGTCGGTGGTTGTTGGTGCGCGTATCGAAACCATCGATCAATCTGCTTGTAGACTGCGACGGTTGGGCGCGATCGGCAAGCTAGACTGGGCCAAGAGGGATCTTGTATTTCAGCGGACTTGGGTTAGGCTAGACTTGGCCCAGTTACCATCAAATTGTTGCCGCCCGATAAGTAAGCAGTTGTGTCCGTCTGGAAGCATTTCCTGCAGTAATCGTGATTTGATTTCTTGGGGAGGGATCCAGTGTGTCTGTCCATCCCTGTGTTTTTCTCGCCATCGACGTGTTGGGCGCTTTTTGTGGTGGTGCGCGTTTGCGTTGCCTGTCTTGCCGTAGCGTTCGTTCGTTCGTTTGCTCTCTCCTGTTCGGAAACACAGGACAGTACTGCTGTAGGGTCGGATGAATTCACCTCACGTGTTGATATAGCAGTTTCGAAGAATATTCTGCTGTAGGTGGTTGCCAATTCCGGTACACCATTGCGGACTCGAGTTTTCCGACATTTGGCTAGCGTTTTTTCACTTGTTTTATACTTCGTATATATTATTTGGGATTTGGGATGACTGAATCAGACTGACTCTGCTTGAAATAGAAATGGATATGGTTATTGTGGCCAGGCGACCAGGTCTTCCATGGAACGGTGACCCCAACATTTTGGTGCATGTAGGTGACTGGCTGGTACACGGACGTAGTAGAAAACCAGCGAGACTTGGGAGTAGACGTGATTCCAGTTCGATGATCGATGGTCGATGGGATGATGGGTGGTGTTGCCCGCGTTCGCTTTTTCATTTGTTTTATTTTCGGTCTCCAGCCATTTTGTTCGTAGTCTCCTCCTTGCCCCAACAACATACGTGGACGTTGTGCCAATGTTAATCTACCTGCAGATCATCGAGAGGCCGAATTGGTACCCAATGTAACGTGGCGGTGGTGATTGAGTTTCGTACCCCACCCACCCGTGGGACGTTTTGTTGCCCTTGACGTTTGTTTTGTGGGCCATGCATCTCGCAGGGTGTAGCTTCGTTTCAACGAAATGGACGCAGTTCAGCGTTGTGGTCTGTATGTCGAGGGGACCTTGAAGAGCCGATACGCAGGGGCAGGGGGAGAGGGTTAGTTGGAGGACAAGAGGGGAGGCATTGTTTATCCACTGGGGGTGTTGGGGAAGTTGGAAGTTGTTGTCGGCTATGGGAAGGACTGGAGACATCGGGGAAGTCGCGCCTTTAAATATGAGAGGACCATCCAGCGCTGCACGTCTGCTGTGGGCGAGCGCGCGAAGAAAGTGTTCGGGACATTTGGATAGACTACCGGTTCAATCGTTAAGAAATATCGGTTCAATCGTTAGTTATCTTCTTTAGTTGTTGAAGCCGCTTGCCGAACAGTTGTTCTTCAGTCACTGGATGGACTGCGCGACGCGAAAAGTGTCTTCCCTCGCTCATCTTTTCGTTGCTCTTTTTGTTTTTTTACCGAAGAATATGACGATGGCGAAGGATTATCTTCTATCTACGAATATTAATTATGATGGTGGACGATTTTTCTCGATGCTATAGAAACGAGAGAGACAGAGGCCATGGGGGTATTGTGTGAGGTGTGAGACCGCGTCCGGGTGCGCACCCCCAACCTACGATTTCATCCGAGTGAAGTCTAGTTAGTCTCCGTTGTTTTGCCTAGCGAACGAACGAGAGAGACAGCGAGAGGGTTATGTCTACGATAGTGTTCTTCCTCTTCTACAATGGCTACTTCTTGCGGTATATGTATGTACGTCACCATCGTCTAGTCACTCGTCATTCTGCCGCGGGAGTATCCTCAATGCGCGTCGAACATTATTTATGGGCAAAGGACAGAACAGGGTAACCCTGGTCGAAAAGCGACTCAACTGGGTACATGCAAATCAATAGCGTGAAATTCCCCCAGATTATTGGCCAACGCCCACTTTCACCCCGCCGCGTTCTAAAAGCGTGCGATATACTCTTGACGTTCTGCCGAAGTTAGTTTTTTTCTACAAAATTGTTCCCTGAGTGACCTGACGGGAATTGAGACCCCTTCTTTCATTGACCATTTTCCTCCGCAGGAATCCTTTCCGAGTCCTTTTCCTCTCTAACCATGGGATATCAAACGGTGACTCCCCGGCCGATGACATCGAACAATGGCAACTACAGTAGGCAGAAATCAATCAGGACATCGTTGCTGTAACAAACTGCAAAAAAAACAACACCAAACACTTGCCAAACATCATCATCTCTTCCCTCTCGACACAAGCAATGGGCAATCAGTCAGGAAGAAATGCCAGCCCCTGCAAAACAACACAAACAAAAATCTGAATGAACTATTCCCGCTCTAGTCTAACAACATTATCTTGAAGTTTGTTCACTATATATAAAACATACCTACCTCTGTTCACTACAGTAGTTTTGAAATAAATGGTTCATAAATAATGATTTGGTTTTTGATATCTAACTAACTTCGAGACTGAGTACGTTCAATTAGGAAAGTATGGCAAAGGATAGCTCTACTTCCATTAAAGACATGCAGTGATTGGTAAGAAGCCAGCTTTATTCATTAGATACCAGGCGAGGAGAAGACGTTTGTTCTTGTTGGGAAAGATCGCCTTTTTCGGTGGCTTGAGTTTACTTAAACGCAAGTTTGCTTATGTTCACTTTGGCCTCACGTACGTGTGGCAGGATATATATATATATGGATACGGACAGGTTTACCCCATATCACAATCACATCATCACAAGTTTTAAGTGCCCTAAACACCACCCAGGGACCACCGGCAAATGTACTTCGTATTGTGTAGCACGTATGTATACGTACGTACGTACGCACGTACGTACGTGGACGAAAGTAGCCTCGCTCGCAAGCAATGCCTTCTTGTTGTAGAGAGAGCGTCCCTTCGATATACATCCATACAATTTTGTACCTTGAATGGGCAGTGAGTGCCAGCCAGTGTAGTGGCGATATGAACCATTTTTTGTACGGGAAACCATGAACGGTAATACAACCACACCCTTTGCATTTTTATGGGTGGTCGATTCACCCGCCGCCATTTTCATTCATTCACAGCTGTCATTCACAGCATGAACAGCTTGGATGCTTCCATCAGATTAGTTTCTATCTGCTGGGAGGACGACCCCTCTTCTTACATTTGATATCTGATCGCGATGAATAAAGGAGGTAAACTGCTATAGGTAGTCAGTCACCACGATTCATTTATTCCTCGGAGCATGATGACCTCGACGACGTTGAGCAGCAGCAGCAGAGAGAGAGAGCCGTGGAGCGAGCGACGAATGAATCAAAGTTACAAACCAACCGGTTAGAAAAAACGCAAACAAAGTTCACTCGCGAGACGACTAACATCCGCAATTGACGCGATCAACGTTATGGCCCGACGATCGCGGGGTGTGTAAATTGGTGCCACTGCATTCTATGCATCATGCACAACAACAGCAGCATTTTTCGAACACACAGCAGCAGCAGCAATTATCATGATAATGTACTGTTATTGTTGTTAGCCCTTACGGGTGGCAAGGCAAAGTCGTCGCTGCTACTGTCATGGATAGGGTACTTGCCTAGACCACACACATATCATCATATCCTTCGCGAGGACGCGCCCCTGCTGCCTGCGCCGATACTACAAGCAAGCATGTCATGTAGAACCCACCCGACGAGAGACCAATGGGGGACATCGGGATGTAGGCATGTCGCCGGCTTTGTTTTCGAATTCAAGAAATCCTTCCGCGAGACTGGCCTTTTCCTCCCCTGGTTGGTGGGAAAATTGTCATGTATAATAAAAGGTGGAACTCCTATATTTCGCCGCATTTGCCGGTAGGGCACCAACACACCAACACCCAACACGCACGCACAACACGAGGAGGGAGGAGGGCTGTTTGAGTCATGACAAGAAAGCGAACAAGAGTGGCATCAGGGTCGCACTTTGGAGTACTACTAGGCGGCGCGACTCTGCTGCTGGCGGTGGGGATTTCGGATGCTTTCGCTGCTGCTGGGTGAGGAAATATCGAACGCAAACGAACACTCAAGACCACCACCGCAGACAAAGCGGCTGACCGACCTACCAAATATCCTGCGTTTCACTATAATAGCTGTTGGCGCTGACACGCGGATACCCCTCTCCGACTCTGCTGCTTGGACAGTGTGCTAGCCTTGATGCTGCACACACCGAGCGCCTTGTTTTTCGTGTTGTACTTCAAGAGCAGCTGCGATTAAGAGCCGTCCGTGCTGCTTGCCGATCGCCATTGCCATCCTCGAGACGCCGAGGTGTCGGTGTACATGTATTATAGCTGACTTGCCCAAGGTAGTGACACAGGAGGGTCACGGATCTGTGTCGTGTCGATGTGGGCCCTGCAAACAACCGCCGACCCGCCCCCCCGCTAGCCAAATATATGGTAAGTATAGTGCGTTGCGGGTGGACGGTGCGCGTGTTGACATATATTTTATCTCCCGCTAGACCTTTCACTCTCCCTCGGTCGGGGATAAACTCTTGTTGTGACTT